TCTGCTTCACAACAAGTCACTGCTGAATATCTTTCTGTATATTAGAACTCATTAAAACTGTTTTTAAATTAACCTCAACCATTGCTATGGATTATGTGGATGTTTGTTTTAATCTGACTCTTCTACATTATATAATTAGAAATTATCTCATTGTTTACCTGACATTTTGTCTTCACTCTGCTAGTTTTCCACTTTAGTAGATTTAGATCGACTCCAGTGCTGGATTTGCATCACATTAACTCTCATTTTATCCACAAGGGATTATTTTCAAACCACCAAATATAGGATAAAACCTCATTTGTCACTTTTTCCCAGCTAATCAAAGTGGCACTACAAGATGATGCAAATATCTAAGCTGATGCAAGTGTTCTGTAATGAAATCAGCACTAGCTATGTTGTCAAATAACCCCCCAGCATCACTATAACGCAATGTGGCTAATGGTTCTAAGAGTCGTCTTAAATCCTGAGGATTTAATGCTTGAACTCTGAGATAAAAGAAGATGTCAGGGCTGTATGTTGCTGGGTGGAGGGAAATGTCTAGACAGGAGAATGATGAACGTCAGGGCCATTAGTTCCACTGGTGTGGAGAGAGGGAGCTTAAAATAACAGATTTGTGCCTGTGGAGTGCTCGTGGTAAACAATTTTAAAATTGTTTAAAATAATATATTGTTTTCAGTGTGCACTCATAGGGTAAAACATTTAAAGTCAGATTAAAAGCACCAGCATATCCTGTGCATTGTAAAGGAAGGTTGTAAAAAATATTGATACACTGAAATACCACAATACTTCATGTTATGATACAGAATCAATATTTAAAGCAATGTATTGTTTTTTTTATTGAGAAGTTACATGCAAATTTATTTACTGTATTTCTTTAAAGCGGTGCAATTCAAACTCTGACTGATAGGTGGCAGAAGTTTTTACTGTCTTCATTCCGACTGTATCTCAAGATAACACTGGAAGGCTGTTGGAGGCATCTGACCTGAAAACTGTATCTGTACCTTGATGGTGTGTCTTTCATTACCTGTCCAATTTGAGCTCAGCCTGGTGTTTACTGTGGTCTTTTAATGTGTTATGTGGACGAGTGTGTGTGTGTGTGTGTGTGTGTGTGTGTGTGTGTGTGTGTGTGTGTGTGTGTGTGTGTGTGTGTGTGCCTGGGAATGATTTGTGGATTGGGTGTGAAACTATCACAATTGTTTTAACCCTTCCACTGTCCTAATGGGTGTGACCCCGTGAGGAAAGTTGACCATTGAGCAGGGCTGATGGTTTATCCCTTGGGTTCATGTGGCAGGGGTGAGGAGTGAGCACCACCTCACCCCTGCCACGTGGACCTCAAGAAATAAACCATCAATCCTGCTCAGTGGTCAACTTTCCTCGCGGGGTCACCCATAAAGACAGTGGGAAGGTTAAGTGTGGGAAAAGGATGGAATGTGGGTTAAGCACTTTGTGTTGCATCCTATGCATGAAATAGTGCTATATAAATAAAGTTTGATTTGATTTGATCTGGACCTATAGTATATATTGTATCCCCAGATTCATTACAGCCCCCTATTTATTTGACTCAAAAATGGCAGCGTGGGAGGTTTCAGGTGTCAGTTAGGCGTGGTTTGGGCAGGGAGTCTTGTAGATGTCTTTCCAAGCAGATTGTGTGATCATTTCTATATTTTTCTGAGCTATCGCTACAGCAATATCGAACCATTCCATGACAATATCAAAACAAAGAAGCTTGTTTTTATGACTTTTTTAGAACTTCTAACCCCAACAGAGCTCCTCTGAGACAGCGGTGAACATTTTAGGTTTTTACTTCTAAAATCGGATCTTTTATCATGAACTGAATTAAATAAAACTGAAAATTAAAAACCACCAACTGGTGCATACTTAAAGGATTAAATACACTCCCCATTATGTCTCATTTAATTGTACCACTCTGGTAAACTTGATAATGATTTTGGAACAAAGTAGCACAATTAGGTTGGAATAAAACCACATCTTTTTGACTTCCATTTACCTTCATTTTGCATCATATAACGGTGAACATACAAGTCTATTGGTGTTATTTCTGACAAATTGATATGAAACATTGTGACAGTTGGCGCTTGAATAAAACACACAAAGCAGAGCTAATTCCCGGTCCTGCATTACCTAAAGGAGGCGATTAGTGTAAGAAAAACCTCTTTGGGGAAAATTACATTTATAAGCATTTATTCAACAAGACATGCTGAAAGGACAAATGTACTCATAGAAACTTTACAAATAAAATGTAGCAGTTGGAATCTATTTCCTGTTAAACTTTTGATAAAACACAATGATTTTAGTTATTGTTTTCTCAGTCTTGAACCAAATGTCAACTTTATCAGCTTTTCCTTTAGTTGTTAGTTTTATTATTTGACCTAAATTTAATGAAAAACAAAACAAGAATTTTGAACTTGTTTAGAGAAGTAGAAGAATTTTCATTTTCTTACTTTTGTAGGTTTTCTGAACATTTTTGTTAATTTACATCCTTCAGATGTCTCACTTACCTTTTCACTGTATTTTTCTCTATATGCACGTTTATACTTTTGACATCATGCACCTCTAATATTTTTCTTTGTCCGTGCACATGTATAAATCAGCACAGGAAGCACTGTTAAAGAGGAATTGGAGTTTGGCTGTGTCTCGACTGAGGCTCTGAAATCAATGTGTCTGCACAGATGCTCCATCAATAGGCAGTAGCTGGAGCAAATAGGTAGTTCAGGTTGATTTAGACCTGCAAAAAACAACTAGTGTAAATGCCAGCTCCAATGTAACAGTGTCCAAATTAGAGCTGTCCTGTTTTGGGGGTGTGGCGGGGTGCTAATCAATAAATCCATGTAAAACGGTCAGTCAGCTACAGAACACCTCTGATGCTTACTAAGGTTTACTTTGCTTTCTGTTTCAATTTTATAAACATCCAGTGATGGAATTTGTTCTACCGCTGCTCTAAAGAGTTTTTCTCAAGCATGTTTCCCCTCTTTGGCTTACTGGAATCAGAGCTTTAAAGTTTAGCTTATTTCACTCCCTTAAAGTGTATTAAAATGTTGTTGCAGTCTATTTAACCTTTATAAGTTTCCCTTTCATTCCAAAATATGCTGCCAGCTTTCTGAAGTGAGCCTAAGTTTTGGGTTTATTGGTTTTGGGGGGGATTGCAGCTTGATGAGCCTCACCGCATTAAACTCAGCATCTCAGCCAGCGTATAGCACAAGGCAGCAGCACTAAAGGAGCCTGGAGGCCAGTGCTGCAGTCTGTGCAACACGACTGCATCAAGTCACAGGTGGGCTATTGTCCCAGAGACTAATTAAAGAAGGAGACAAAGAGGCAGAACGAGCTGAAACCAAACAGAGGCTGTGCATGAACCCATAATAATTTAGTAAAAAATCTACAACTTAGATGAGTTTTTGCTGTGAAAATACTCCCTTACATGCTAAGCTTTTTTTTTTGTCAGAGACAAATATTTGAAATCAATAAACACATTTCTATAACAGACAATGATAACCTGAGTTAATATAAAATACAGTTTTCAAATGATGACTAATTTATTTAGTAGAAAAGCAATCCAAAATTAATCTGGCTCAATGCAAAATAATAATCACACCATTTTCTCCTTGTTCATTAATGTAATAATTGATCATGAATAAAATTTGATTCACCGGAAAGCATCAAACACACCCAGGTTCAATTACTTAAGTCTGTCTGACAACATGACGCAGACCGACAGATTTCAAAAAGCAACAAATTGCACTTCATTTTGAAGGAATTCAAAAGAACCAGACACATCTAAAGCCCCACAGGCCTGACTTTGTTGGATCAGAGGTTCAACAACAGGTAAGAGACTGGGGCAGAGAGAAAAATAGAGTCCATGTTTGCATTTTAAGACCAATACCTGCTGACAGACATGTCTCACAGTTGCCCAAGATATCCTTCTGAATTTAGTCTAAATATTCTGTAGATTAGTATGACAAAAGTGAAACTTTCTGGGTCTTTACATCTGGTGTGAAGCTAAAACTGCATTTCAGTAAAAGAACATCAAACAACAGTCAAACACGGAGGTGGAAGTGTGATGGTCTGGGGCTGCTTTGCTGTTTTTTGGACCCGGATAATTTGCTGTAAGTGATGGAACCACTCTGCTCTTTAGTAGAAAATGCTGGAGGAGAATGCCCATCACCTTAGGCTCCTGTCCTGCTGCATAACTTGGGTTATGCAGCAGGACAACCAAAAGCACACCAGCAAATCCAATCAAGTGTGTTACAGCCAGATTATGGGGTAATGGGCCAATTACTTTTCATAAAGACCTTTAATAAACGAAACCATCGTTTAGAAACTGTCTTTTGCTCAGGTTATTTCTAAGATTGATTATCTGAGATACTTGAGTGTGACAAAAAAAGTGCAAAAGAACAAATCTGTCAATGTGTACATCTCTTGTTTGCCTTGATTTTCTTTTAACATATTTGGTTAAACCTCTGCGTTTTGGCATTGTCACCATGAACTTGTTTCCCTTCATCCATTTTACTTTTTGACAATATGTGTTTGCACAGCACCAAATTTATAAACAAAGTCAAAAAGACACAAACAGAACAAGAGTTCCTTCTGAGTAATGACCGCATTTCTTATCTTATTGCTTCCTAGAGGCTCATAAGGAAGGTGAGTAACGTGGAAGTTGCTTCCTGAAGAAAGACAAGAAAAGCTGCTTTTTAAATCCCTGTTTCATCTCCCCCAGTAGAGATACCATGCCCCCCCACCCCCCACATCTTAAACCCAATAATGACTACAGAGCATTAGCATTCTTTGCTAATGTGGGCATTGCATTACAGACTGAACATGGCTGTGCATCCTTCCCATGTTTCTGTAGTCGGGAAAGATGACCCCGTATCCGGTTTGCTCATGGATACAGGAACTGGTACCACCACCTTCTTGTCAGATTGCATGTTCTCATTGGTGAAAATGGGTGGCAAACCCCACCCATGAGATATGATTCCCTCAGCTTGATGTTGTTATTGTTGGTGAGAAGGGCTCTGCTGAGGTCAGAGGTCAGTTGGAGATTGAAGCCTCTGGATTAGCACCAGTGAGTGTGGAAGTTGTGCTGACAAGTGTTGGGTTTTGTGTAAATTGTCATTAAAGGCAGCGCAGAGTGGTGGACACAAGACTTTGCTGTATGGACATGCCATCCTCCTACGGCACTCCTTCAGCTCGATGGTGAGAAATCACAACAACTTTCAGAGAAAACGCAGGATTAGCACAAATAAAACATTAGTAGTTTTGATAAATTATTAGAATCATCGGACAGCTTGTATGTTTTATTGCTCAATGTGTGTGTTGACCACAGTACTTGGCCTGTTTGAAGACATCACGATCTCAGACAGACAAGCTGTCCTTTGATGTTGGGCTGCAGGAAGATTCAACAGGTAAAAAAGCTCTTTTTGAATTCGTTTGCCATTATTCCATTTTGGCTTTTACTTCCACGTCTGCTTCTGTTGTTTCACTCTAGCAATCACTCTGCTGTTTCACTGTCCCTCTTTTTATCTGTCTCTCTGTACTGTATTTGCTCATGACTGAATTTCCCTGTGTTCCTTTTCAGCATCCCAGTTAATATTCCCTTTGGGATGCTGTAGACACACAATGTTCCTCTATTGTCAGCCGTGATTACATCTGGGCTGCATATATGATAATCCTATTATGGTATCCTGATACATGGAACCATTTTTCCCCTTGCTGTTGAATTCCATAGATGTTGCAGCTATTGTGTTTTTTCAAGTTAAGTCTAAATCCATAAAATTAACAACTCAAGTCCACACCCTCACGACCATACCCCATCATTTCTCAGCAGAAGATCAGTAACGGCAACATGGATTATACATTCCTTCAAGGACTTATTGACCTTTTTTTTTTAACAATGTACACAGCTTTTTTCATCAGTGTGTTGAATTCTGCTTTGACTGATAAAACTGGTGCTTTACAACACTGCTTCTCATTCATTTATTCCCGATTTAGATATCAAGCAGGTATTATGCAACCATTTCATGGTTCAGGAGCAGTGTTTCCTTTCATGAACTTTTGCAGGTTTTACAAGCATAACGTGTTTGTTGCAAACTGTCAACAAAGAAACAAAAGGACTAATGTTGCCCATTTAGACAAAAAGATGGATGCTTTTTATTAAAATCTTATGCATTTTGTTGCAGGCGAGGCCTGTTGGTGGACGATCCACCCTGCCTCCAAGCAGAGATCAGAAGGAGAGAAAGTACGCATTGGCGATGACCTCATCCTTGTCAGTGTGTCCTCAGAACGTTATCTTGTAAGTTGCCATCTTGTTAGGATCTTTAAAGGAAAGTATTGACTCTGATTACCCCAATGAGACAGAATTTCTGATAAATCCCAGTCCACTTATTACATGTACTCTCACTGTGATCAGCAGTGAGAGTACATGTAATACCTCTACAATTGTACATGTAATACCTCTACATGTAGTACCTCTACAATTAAAAGCATGACGATTAGTTCAATTAGATTTTCACACAACTTATTTAGTTTGTCGGATTATGATTTCTTCAGACTGTTGTCATTTTGAATCATCTCTCTCTTCAGTTGATATTTATGTCATTATTACACTTTTAACAAATCTTCACATTGAAATATTGACAAATATACCAGCAACAACCTCATTTAAACAATTTAACCTAATCAGAGGCTTGGAATTACAGTGCCATGGTATATTAACCCTGAAAAGACATTGCCCATGATTCATGAGGTCAGCGAGAATGTGTGCACCCCTGACTGTAGCAGTGCATAAACAGATGACCTCTGTTTCCTTATAGTCATCAACATCAATCTGGTAGTCTGTCCCAGCTGTCATTCAAATGGTGCTATACGAGGACATGCTGCACCTACGGGCTGCAGAGAGGTCCCAAGGAGCAGGGATGATCAGAACACAGCTGCCATGCAATGTGTTTTTTGTGGCGGAATAAATACAGTGCTAAGCACACTAGTGCACAACATGTTTATGGTATAGCAGCCGCTCATGTGGCAAGAATCCTGAACTAGAGGCATCTGCTGCTATAATTTTTTGTTTTAGTCTAAAATCAACTGTATGCAGGGGTTTGTTCTGGATGAGTGACTATTGAGAGGTTTAAACTTGTGTTCTCATCACAGTGGGCTGTAAGAGAGGAGTCACACTGCAGTCCTCAAGGGCCACCATCCTGCACATTTAAGCTGTTTCCTTCCTTCAGCACACCTCCTTTAAATGAACGAGTAATTAACGGACTTCAGCAGAACACAGAACTGTAAAGAGGTGATCCTTTTATGTGCTGGAGAACCAAACTTGTAAAACCTACAAGGTGGTAGCCCTCGTTGCAACTACAAAAATGTTTTCTATATTAATGATTGTGATGTCACAATAAGGAAAATTATTTAAAACCATTCAGAAATCAGTGTCTCAGCCTATAGCAGCCTGAGCGAGGGATTGGTGGGCGTGACCAGCATACAGCTTGTTTTCTTAAAGTGACAGGGCCCTGAAATTGACTCCTCATTGACCAGGGATGTCCAAAGTTTGGCCCGGGGATCACTTTTGGCCCTCAGAAGGATTTTGTGCTGCTCACACTGTCTTTTTGAGAATGATTCATATTTTTTTCTCTAGTCCGTCACCCTTTTTCATATTTTCATGTTCAGGTTTTTACCAGTATGCTTTTTAGGACTAATTTTGTAGAAAAACAATTCAGAAGAAGTCACCATAAAACAACTTTTGCCTTTAAAAAATAAGAATCACATTTTGTGGCCAATAAGGACTATTGCTTTGATGGTTTAGGCCCTCAACTTGAAAAGTTTGGACACCCCTGGTATACACCACAAACCTAATATGAGCTGTAATTTGTCCCCTTTAAAATAATTTAGTTTTCTTAAGCTTAATTTTATTATATCTCTTTTAAATGGCTGCTTGAAAGTAAATGAGTGTTTTATGTGATGTTGCAGCACTTATCCATCTCCAATGGCAACATCCAGGTGGACGCTTCATTTATGCAGACTCTGTGGAATGTCCACCCCATCTGCTCTGGTAGCAACATAGAGGAAGGTAGAGACGTTTCACTCTGAATTACTAAACTCAATCTCAACAGGCCGGTTGATGAATATGGTTCAAGCAAAACAACAGAACCAATGATCTGATTTACACTACGAAATGTTATCTTAGTTATTTAACATTGAAATTGAAATCGATCTTGTGTTTTTATTCCTTCGATAGGCTACCTGTTGGGTGGTCATGTGATGCGCTTGTTTCACGGCCATGACGAGGTGGTGAGCATTCCCGGATCGGACCAGAGTGAAGAGCAGCAAAGGTCTGAAACAGTGCAGAATATGCAACAGCACTGGGGTTGCAGGAGCTATAAACGTGTTGGAAGGGAAAAATGGGAGACCGTAGAGCTAACTGTTGCCTTTTCGTCAACTTGAAAAGAAAAACTCTCTCAGACCAGTGTAACACTTGGCTCTCCAGGTTGCAACAACTGGTAACTGATGTTATTTTTAGCTACAGTTCAGCCGCAGGGTTAAAACGGAGACAATGGTAGTTTGAATAAACTGATATAAAGAGCCTGAAGTGGGTCAGAACAACGAGCAAGGTCCATACACACTCAACAAGGTGCCACAAGCTCTACCTCTTCCTCTTGGACACACTCAGTCTATTTTTAGAACAGAGCATGGCAAACGTGGGGGTGGGGTGGGGGGATTAGAAAATGAGATTGCCTTTTCTCATATTTGTCCTTGAAATTGAGCAGAAGCAGCTTCCATTTAGGACCATTTTTATTTTTCTGATCAAACCCAAGCTGACACCGTGGGAAGACGAGTGTTTTCTTTTATCTTAAGACCCAGTCACCCATATTGCTGATAGACATTGTAGCTGTGGGTTATCGGGGTACACATGTCTCTGTTTGAAGGATGTAAGGCTTAAGCTAGTAGAGTGACTGCAGCCTGTGTGTGTGTGTCAAACATCTCATGAAAGCACTCTGATAAATGAAAGGTGGGATTCTTCTAAGACAGGATGAACGACCTTGGCATTTGAAGTTGCAGATGGACAGATGAAGCATTCACAGACGATCTAACACTGACGTTTCCTTGGCTTCTTCAGGATAGTCAACTATGAGACGGGTAAAGCGGGTGCAAAGGCAAGGTCTTTGTGGAGGCTGGAGCCACTTCGAATTAGGTGGGCCGTTCTCTCTCACCATCCTGTCTGCCTTTGTTCCTATCGTAATGATTTCAACCACACTTCCTTTTATTTACTGTTTACACTTTTTTAAATTTCTGCACCAATTCCTTCTCATTCCTTATCCTTGGCTATTGTGTCAAATCTACTAAACAAATTGCTTTTACCCCCAACCACATTCATTTATGCAGCAGCCTCATTTAGATCAGCCAGTTTGTGGATAGATTATAAAATGCTTTGCCTTTTTCAATCGTATGATTCTATGCACTTTTCTTTTTTAACTTCATAGCTGGAGTGGGAGCCACATCCGCTGGGGGCAGCCCTTTCGACTACGACACCTGACGACCGGTCACTACCTGGCTTTGACAGAGGACAGGGGTCTTGTGTTGCAGGACCGGGAGAGGTCCGACACGGTTTCAACAGCCTTCTGCTTTCGAGCATCCAAGGCAAGAATTCCACGCATCAGGAAACGGACACTTCATCTCAGGATAGCACAGGCTTTCCCATGAAATCCAAACCTTGACAACAGAACCTCCAACAGTTATTAGACTGGAAAAGTACCATTCTATAAAGCACAATAACAATTACAGGAGTTACTGAGCCAGTAAAACGTACAGCGCATAGGTTAATTATTTGAACTTGCCTTCTGCAACTGAACCAATCATTTAGCAGTACTCTGTGTAATGGGGTTAGATATGACCATTGCTTGCATGCAAATTAGTGGCTACTAAAAACTGGATTTAAAATTTTATTTTACAGTATAACTGAGTTAATTACCATGGGAATTTTAATGCACAAAGTGGGATCACTGGCAGCACACATTCTCTCACTGTGAAGGGAGGAGCTGAGCACATGTAGTTGACATTTGGTTGGTGGTTTGATTAAGAATCGATTTGCATGTTTGCAAGCGTGAACGCCTTCTATCATTCCACATGACGGCTTTCACTCATGGTCTCCTACTCTGTGCAGGAGAAGCTGGAGCAGAGCCCCAAACGGGACATCGAGGGTATGGGAGTGGCGGAGATTAAATACGGGGACTCCCTCTGTTTCATAATGCATGTGGCTACGGGTCTGTGGCTGTCCTACCAGGCGCCTGATGTCAAATCTGCTCGACTAGGTCCCCTCAAGAGAAGAGTGAGTGTTGACACAAAACAGGAATTTTAAGCAGATGCAAGTCATTAATGAATAAAAGTATTTTGTGCCAAAGTTTTGATCTAAGATCTTTTTATGCTGAGAAACTTAAGTTGTGGCTATTTTGAGTTATGGCTAACCCTAACTCGTGCAGCAACCTAGCGGGTTAGCTGTAACCCTAATTGCTCACTTAAAATGACATTAGGAGCAATCTCATGCAACACAATATCCTAATTTACTCACTTTTCTGGTTTATAATAAAGGTTAGCCTTGTTCGCCATCTTGCATTAAATCCAATCTAAGAAGTAATCATATGTAGAATTCAACCTAATCATAACTTTGTTTTGTTTTTATTTATTTAAAACTGCACTTTGCTCCTTTGGAAGTGAGTGATATACAGAAAATGATGACACACATTCACATAACGCCGTTGTGTGTGACATGTTCCGTATGTTATCTGACTTCAACCTCAAGGCGTGCCTTCACTCTGAGGGTCACATGGATGACGGCTTGACCCTTCAGCGCTGTCAACACGAAGAGTCTCGTGCAGCACGGATCATCCGAAACACCACGCTACTCTTTAACCGATTCATCAGGTATGAGAGGCGTTGAATCAGTGCTTCCATGGCATGACTCGCCTCAGCAACACAGCGTCGTGATTGTGCAAATGACCCAATTAAATCAAATTACTTTTCATATTTGTCTTGAGACCCTTTAATAGAATAATCAGAAATCTATGTTGTCATAAATGCCAAACACACAATAGCTGCTGCTGATGGTGGTGGAGCAGAACTAATAAAGATGATAAAAAAAGTCCCTGATGCCTCATAAATTGATTTCTCAGAGCTCCACAGTCTCTCACGAAGACACAGATTGCACTCACAGCCAGTGGGAAATCACACTCTGGGCCTGAGTTTTGGCTAAAAGGGATGCCAAAGCCACAGACAGCTCACTCATTGGACGTGTCACTCATTTCTAATTGGCATCCTGTGCAGTCAAACCGCACTGCCGGCTTTGAAAAAGGAAGCTGTGGCACGAGTATGTGTTTCTGATTAAAGGGCTCCGTCCTTGGGTGAGGCTCAGGGATATAGTCATGAGGCGTCAGCCTCCCCCTTGGTTGTAACGCGTACATCTACGCTCATCCTTCCCATGCAAATGGCATGGGCTATTTTTAGCAGGCTGGTAGAAACTGGCATTTCAGCATGAATGGGTATGAGTTCATTCAGCTAAACATTGTGTTAGTCACCACTGCTGTGAATACCCTACGCCTCCTTTTAAGAATTTTGCAGCCAAACCTGATTGTAAATTGAATTATCTTCTCTTCTCATTCCATAACAGAGACCTTGACTGTTTGAGCATTAAAAACCGAGCGATGGTTGCCTTACCTGTTGAGGAGGTGCTGCAAACGCTCAACGACCTCATTACCTACTTTCAACTCCCCGACGCTGAGCTGGAGCATGAGGAGAGGCAGATTAAGCTGCGCTCACTCAAGAACAGGCAGAACCTTTTCAAACAGGAAGTGAGTGTTCCCCAGCATGGAAAGTTTAGCAGACTAACAGCCTATGAAATATTAATTTATTTTATCTTGTTAGGGCAAGGAAACATTCCAAATCCAGAGTAAAGAGGGGTGATTAGTGTTGTCTCAGTAGAGGATTGCGTGTGTGATTGAGCTGAGAGTAGAGGAAAAGTGTGAGAGAGGCAAAAGCAATTGATCCTCCCAGGGGTGTTTCATAGCCATCCCGTATTTGGAGGCAGTGCATATGAAAGTGTCAGCAGTTTTAGTGTTATAAGTTTTCCCTGAGGTAGGAATAAGCGCACTGAAGCTTCCTGCAAAGCTTCTAGGGCCTAAATTGCGTTCATCAATTATGATATGTCCGCAGCGGTACCAAGGGGTTCTGTGATGTCAACTATTCACACTGCTCTGGATTTGTTCACACTTCACCTGTGTGATTAGGCCAGTAAATCTTCAGCAGACCTCAGATTACTAGTTAAATGCATGCCTACACTTATGTTTTTATTAAGTGTTACAAACACAGTTCTTTACTTCCTTGTTTTAATACAACATGTGAACATAAAAAGCATCTGTCCTCTGAAAGATTGCATTTAGAAGGCCAGTTTGTTGCACTGCTGACTCGTGATATTTCCTGGTAATATAAATCACGGGAAATTTCCATTTAGTCTTTTTAATGCCCTCCATTTAGCATTTCCGATCATTGTAGTCATTTCTTTGCAGCGTAAATCACCATGACGTGGCTAATGAGACAGGAGAGATCTGCGTTTAGGATCGTCCTGCTAATCAAAACCCATTAAGCTTCCTTATTAATGAGAGCTTGTCATTAATAAAAGGTGTCTCAATGCTGAAGTGTCTAGAAAAATTAAGCAATTAAAATAAAATATACATCTTTTCCAAACTGTACGAAAAACATGTTCTTCTTCAGGGTATCCGCGGGTCCTTAAAAAGTCTTAAAAAGTCTTAAATTTGCTTTTCCAAATTTAAGGCCTTAAAAATCCTTAAAAATGACAAATAATCCTTAAATACAGTTTCCAAAGGTCTTAAATTTTCAAAGACCCAATAAACAAGATTATTTTATTTCTATGAAATTTTCATGAATTTCTAGTTAGTCTTCAGCATTTTTTGCGTATGATATTTGCGTAAGCGGAACCGTACACATTCAGTTGGTTGTGAATGGGGGCTATTTTTAGATGAGCACATTAGCTGGTTAAACTAGTGGGAGCTTGCGCCATGGGGAAGTGCAAGTTTGATGGTAACTGGATGGCTAATCCCATGTTCGCGACGCGGTTAGCACCAGTTCCAGTCAATAGCTGGAAAATAAAGCTTAAATTTAATTATAAAAATAGCTTAAATTTGCTCTAAGTGGCCTTAAAAAAGGTCTTAAAAAGTCTTAAATTTGGCTCCCTTAAACCTGCAGATACCCTGTTCTTCAATATTGGAGACGTTTTATCTACGTGCACTCATGAGTTATGAGTTATTTTTTCAGAAAGATTTATTTTAAACTAGCCTTCACATTTTCTTTATCTGAGTTTTAGGCTAGTGGATTTAATTCACCATTGAATTGTATTTAATTTTTTAGCTTTTTCTGCTTTCCCCAAGTCTCTGAACACTAAATAAGGCTGCCTTGGAACCCATACACATCATTTTTGCCAGACCTTCTCAGGCTATTTTTCTTGTGACAGTATGAAGAAAACTGACAGCAAATCTTTCATTTCTTTTGAAGGATCTCCATGTTATGGGAGTTTAGATATCTTTTAAATTTTTGATATCAGGTGAATTTCTGTCTCTTGTTCACTGAGAAACTGTATAATACTTGTTCTTTTTGAATTAAAAATAATGAAATATTGACCCAAGAAGTTGCACAACAATGTAATCCATATTTATAGTATTTACAAATCTTTGCATGTCATGGTTTTTATCTTTTTTTTTTAAACGCAAGTTCTAAACATTTTTCAGCACACTCAAAGAGAAGTTCAATTCCATTTTCTGTAAGTGGTGCAGGTCTTTTCATGTATTTTAATTTTATTATCGTGCATTTTTAGGGCATGCTGACTCTTGTTTCCAACTGTATTGACCGGCTCAACGTTTACAACAGTGCGGCTCATTTTGGGGAGTGTGCTGGTTCAGAGGTCGGAGCATCCTGGAAGGACATTCTCAACTTGCTGTACGAGCTGCTGGGTAATACATAGCTCCAGTAATGATTTACGTATAAAACACACCCTACTCTGATCACTCACAGCAATTTCAGATTATTCAAATCAAATTGGTTGACTTTTAAATTAACGGTATATTTACCAATTCATTTGTTCAATCTTTGCAGTTAACTGTGTTTGTTCTTGCTGTGTTCTTTATGTGGCCATGACACGATGTCATCAGCCCTCCTGTCCAGAAAACGCTTTAACCTTTTACACTGTGACCTTACGCTCTGTCTGACACAGATGAATCTCACTAAATTGATTTGGCACAGGAAGGGAATGTATTGCTTTCCCTCCTTTCCTTTCGCCCTGTTACACTCGTGTCTCCATTTCAATCAGTACTTAAATATGGATAGGACATATTCAAAGTATTTTTATATTCATCTTGCCAAGCTGAAGCCCTTCTACCCTTCAAGAATGTCCTTCACACCCTTGTTTATACTGATTTCACCTCCTGGCTCAGATTAGTGTTCCAGCCACGTCTCTCTCTCCTTCTCTTCCCTCCCATCCCTCCCTCTTTCACACACCTGCTGTAATGCAGCACTAAGTGGATTTGGGATGCCTTCTTCCTTTCCTCTCAGCCTGTCTGCATCGCATGACCCTGTCTCAGGACACACATTATCCAGTTCATCCTGCTCCCCTTTTTTATCTTCTGTGCCTTATATGAACACACACACACACACACACACACACACACACACACACACACACACACACACACACACACACACACACACACACACACACACACACACACACACACACACACACACACACACACACACACACGAACAAGAGCATCAGCTTTGGAATGAACTTCAGGTGTATACCATCTGGTGATCTTGTTCTGATGATAAGTAAGGTAACACTGACATGAATGCCTCTAAATGTGTACATGCACACTTTTCTTGTGCCTTGCAGCAGCGTTAATCCGAGGGAACAGAAACAACTGCACCCAGTTCTCTAACAACTTGGACTGGCTGGTGAACAAGCTGGAAAGACTGGAGTCTTCTTCAGGTATTATCATCATTCTTTTAAAAAGTAAAGTTTTTCAAGTTAAAGCCTTTAAGGCATCACAATATATATATATATATATATATATATATATATATATATATATATATATATATATAGCGTCTTAGTGGCAGGTTTATAGTCCCCAAATCAACCAGCAGGAGGCAGTTGAGGTTCACACAGACCTTTATTAGGCTTTTTCTTCAACGCTTAGTAACGCTACAGACACCGATCCTCTATCACGCTCCTACCACACAGAGTCACGGTGTCAGTTAACCATGCTAATTCAACCCGCTCCACAGAACACACATCACCTTCCCTGTGGCTTACATAACACTCACACAATACGCAAATCAACACATAGGAACTAGCAGAACGATAGGAAACACATATAACACAATACCCAGAATGCACCTGGCTTACAACCCCAGCCAGGTCATTACAATATATATATTTAAGAATGTAAAAACAATCATATCTCTGACACGCATCCTCCGCAGTGTCTACTTTCTATGCCATCAACTAATTGATTCATTTTGCGGCTGCATAGGCATCTTGGAAGTTCTGCACTGCATTCTAATTGAGAGCCCCGAGGCGCTCAATATCATCCAGAAAGGACACATTAAGTCTATCATATCACTGCTCTACAAGCATGGACGCAACCACAAGGTAAGCACTTAACAGCAGTATGGTCAGCTGTTGACCTGCTACACTAGATTTGGTTTTAGTTTATAGATAAGGCTGAACTTAACCCGTCCTAGAACGTTAAACCCCATTTAACTTGTTGTTTTTCAATATAGAAAGCTTGGGGTGTCACCAAAAATCTGTGTCTTCTTTGACTTGCTCTCCTATAAAAATTAGTAATGTATATAAATATTGGTCGCAGTAATGGTAATAGCAGAATAGTGCACGCCTGAGTTACTGTTAACTCTAGCTCAAGCCACTGCAAACTGCCTATGCTAGTCTAAGCTGCTGGCTAGTCCTTGTTGGATGAGAGGAAAACACCAGAATGTGTGAGCGCTCATGTTTCAGGATACTATCCAGACTTGAAATGAATTCCATACAGATCAATATCATGGCGTCCTTGTCCTCAATCCCCCTGGCATCGGCCAGACACTCACTTCCTCGTATGTCCGCAAACCCCTGCACCACAACCCGTCTGACACCCACTTTGTTCCTCGTCATTTCAAATAGAAAAGGGTTAACATTTGTTGCTCGTTGGGGCCTGTTTCTCAGGCCAGTTCTGTTTTCCAGGTTTGAAATTTTAATTGAATGATTCACTTACCAAATAAAATAGTCTAGAGAGGAACCTGTGTGGTAAAAAACAAAACAAATAAACAATAGCTTACACATTTTCAGTCAAGCAAAAAGTGGGGCCAAACTATAAAACATGCATCTTCTGCTCTTCATCCATCAATTGACTTAACATTACTTTTGCTGGCATGAACTTCCACCCTTGAAAGAGGTTTTCCTTTGGTTGGTTTCTGTCATAAATAAATCGGTTTACAAGGATAATAAAATTAAAGGCAGACAGTTGGGTGACCTATGTCGTAAATCAGCCTAAATACATTATTTTGCTTTGGATGCAGGATGAAAAGGTCAATGATAAACTGTCACCCTTGGCTGAGCTTCCCAACCCATTTAATTCTAAGCCTTTGTTAAGTGAACTTCAAAGGGAAATTATTGGACCTGTTTTTACCTCCAAGAAGAATCAAAGTAATTATGCAGTGGCTGTATGAAAAGAGGCTGTCCCCAGAGCAGCAACCTAGACAGTGATTTGGGACACAGATAATTAGTCTTTTCTGGAAAGGTATGGACTGAAATTTAGTGTTTAATGGAGAAAAATGAGGTAAATATGGGATCCGCTACATGAAAGCTTTTGAGGTCCTGCACTCATTGTTGTTTCCCATTATCCTCCCTGCTGGCTTGGCTGTTTTTCAGATTCTTGACGTGCTCTGTTCACTGTGTGTGTGTAATGGCGTAGCTGTGCGAACCAATCAAAACCTCATATGTGACCACTTGCTGCCCAAAAGAGATCTGCTGTTACAAACCCAGCTGGTCAATGACGTTCAAAGGTGAGATCCATCTACCATCCTGCCTCCAAAATATTACATTCCATGTAATTTTATTAACGGATAGATCTTCAAACATTTAATGACCTTTTTAATTGTTCTTTGCCAGCATGAGGCCAAACATCTTCCTGGGTGTGAGTGAAGGCTCTGCTCAATATAAAAAGTGGTACTATGAGCTGATGATCGACCAGGTGGACCACTTTGTGACCAGTGAGCCATCCCACCTGAGAGTGGGTTGGGCCAATACCAAAGGTTACGCACCCTATCCTGGTGGAGGGGAGGGCTGGGGGGGCAATGGAGTTGGGGATGACCTCTACTCATTTGGTTTTGATGGACTCCACCTCTGGTCAGGTGAGTGGAAGAGGAGACCTGGTTAATTTAGTAGGATTTTAAAATTGTTGGACTACTTTCAAAGCATGAAAGACTCCACAAATGGTGATAAAAGACATCCCAGCCATACAGGTTTTGATCCTAGAGTGTGTGGTGTGCAGCATCATGGGCATAGCTTTACACCACACAAACAGATTTCATGCATGAACATTCCCTAATCAGAAGGGAAATCTCATGAGATCTAGCATGACTTCAGAGTAAAAAAACATGGTGGAGGAAGAGTGTGCAACGCTCTTCCATAATCTTGCTCTCTGATAGGCTACACATTACATTCAGCACGCTATTTTTCCTTAAATGTCAGACCAAGATAATCCAACATGTTTGAAAGCTCTGACTTATAACCAGAACAATCCCTACATGCCTCCAAGAAGACCAGAGTCCTTTTAACACACCACACAAGGCACAAATATTATAAGATTAGATTTAGAGTCATTATGGCAATCAAGCACATCAATGCAATTCTCAAAGAAGGAGGACTGGGTCATAGATATGTAATAATATTATAATGATTTAGCCCTGTGAACCAGGCCTTAGATGAGTGGTATCCCTGGGATACAACCAGCTTACATCTAGACACTCAGCACCCCGTAGGAGGGATTTTCTTGCCCAGACTGAGTGTAGGGGAGTGGAAATGTGTTGCAGCCGGTGTCTGATGGAGAGATGTGTCCATTGCCAGAATCTTGACTGTGTTTGTCTGTCATAATCAGGTCGTATCCCGCGAGCAGTTGCATCTGTGAACCAGCATATTCTGACCTCAGAGGATGTGGTGAGCTGTTGTCTGGACCTGGGAGCTCCCAGCATTTCCTTCAGGATCAATGGACAGCCTGTTCAAGGCATGTTTGAAAATTTCAACACGGATGGACTCTTTTTCCCCGTTGTCAGCTTCTCTGCCGGGGTCAAGTGAGTGTTTTATTACATCATTCATTGTGTAAACTAAGATGAACCATTCCCGTTGGGGTTGCTTCCACCTCCATTTTATGTCTGTGGCTAAAAACAATGTGAAAGATAACCCTCATGTAATTCTATTCTTTTATCTGCTGAAAGGAATTAGAAAGAACAGAGTTCAAACCTGGAGAAAACACCCTTTTACTCATTTTTTTGTAGGGTCACAGGGATCTGGTGGCTAAAACCGTTTCAGCCCATTGCCCTTTAATTTGAATAAGTATCCTAGTAAATCTGAGTCTGTACTGTCAGCCATGTTTTATTCAACAGATTTAAACATTCCTGGTTCAGTATATAAACACAGGTCTGTACAAAAGTCTTAGAAGAGGCTTCATGTCTCTCGTCATGGTGACCAGAGACGTGATTGACAAGACCTTGAAATGAAATTTCAAGCTCTGGCAGTTTTTCAGCTATTCTATGATTGACTCCAGCTTTGAAGCTGCATCAACAGCTCAGAATCTCAGACACTTGACACCAAGGAACTAGAATACATTTTACTTTCTCACACAAGGAAAACAAAATGTGTTTATTTATATTTGTTTCTGACATGAAAAATCGTGGAGGAATAAGCAACAACATATTTTATAATGTTAGAGCTAAAGTATTATTTTCTCGATGGTCTGTTTTTTAAACTCTGATTTAGTTTTAGAGCTACAGGCAGCAAACGGGTCTTTGTTAGCTGTAGACTTTTTAAGGCTCTCCCTTTTTTAAATTGGCTTGGTAATTTAATTGGGTACATTTTCCTTTTTACACGTTTATTATAGCAACACTTGAAGGCAGAAAAGCCAGAGAAAATGTGTCAGAGGATTTGATCATTCATTTGGAAGATGGCTACACTCAGTCTATTAGAAATGGTTTTAACACGGCTCATTGCGTTGATCCTGTCTTTTATTTATTTATTTACATCTACTGATAACTAAAGCCTCTCTTTAGGGTACGCTTCTTGTTGGGTGGTCGACATGGTGACTTTAAATTCCTGCCTCCATCAAGCTATGCTCCATGCTACGAGGCTCTGTTGCCAAAAGAAAAGATGAAAGTGGAGCCGGTGAAGGAGTACAAGAGAGACGCAGAAGGAGTTCGAGATCTGCTGGGCACCACTCAGTTTACCTCACAGGCTTCCTTCATCCCCATCCCTGTGGAAACCAGCCAGGTAAGATCCCAATAGGAGTGCCAAGTGACTATTTACAAGAGAACCTTTATTTATTTTATTTTTTGCTAATAACCTCTCTGCTTTCAGATCATCATGCCTCTTCATCTAGAGAAGATTCGAGACAAGCTGGCTGAAAACATTCATGAACTATGGGGCATGAATAAGATAGAGCTGGGCTGGACTTATGGCAAGGTGAGAAACGGGCAAATTTTCTCACAAAATAAAAATAAAACACTTCATGCATTTGGCCATGTTTACCAAGAATATAAAATCTTTTTGCTTTACTTTCTAATGAACTCAAAACCAGCTTGAAATTGCTTTAGTTGTGCGAAGTAGTGGCAATGAGCCATCACAGACGCCTGTATGTCATCTTGCTTTCTCTTTTATAATTTGCGGTTCACTCCTAAAAGAGGGTAAGTGAAAAAAAAAATCATATTTTGATGTTCATTGTGATCATATCACTCATTTAGATGCTTTATTTTAGTTTATTTGTAGGAAGAAAAATCTGTTTCATTGTGTGTTCTGGTAAAAGTCTTTTTTTGTCTCTCTCATGGGCAAAATAAGGTCTGACATCTTTAAAAATCAAGAATTATTAATTTTTTTTAATGATTTTTGGTTTGTTTACCATAAAGCATGGTAAGCACACTTTTGGAGAAGTGTTTTCATTCTTGTGCCTGCATCAATTAAATACACTAATGAACATAACTAAACGTACCAAGTCACGTGCAATATGTGACATTTAATTGACTTTTTTCACTGGCAGCAAAATGAGCAAATTAGCACTTATTGTATATTTTAGTTTAATACTTGATACACTGTAGAAATGAATAAACACTTGATTTCTAAATGATTTCCAACTTATACAAGTTAAGTTAGGCACTTCTGTCAATTTTTAATCTCAGAAATAAATAAAGTATTGGTAAAACAAGAAACTGACGACTTTTCAGTATAATCACAAGAATTGTGTTTTTGTCAAAAATGCATAATCCTGCAAACATCACAGATAACATTTGAATTCCAGTCTTTGTCTTTAAACCTTTTTCCATTAAAAGGTAGCAATAATTTATATAAGTACTTCATTCTTTTCAACAATTGCAAGTTTATTAAAACTCCCTCCGAAGAGCTGCAGCCGTACCAGTCAGTTACACTTAGATACCTTTGTGTTTTTTCTCCTTCACTGTCAAACGATTTTCCAAAGGTTTTCACTAAACATCTGACTATATTATTTTGATAAGTCATAAACACGCATATCTGCGTATCTATACTCAGCCCTGCATGTTTTCTTGATTAACACCCACCATTGTCATGCCGTCTCCTTTGCGCAGCATTGCCAAGGAGAACATTTGGCATAAATTGAAGCATTCAAATATGCATAAAAATGTTTAGTATTCAAGCCACACACTTTTCTGTTTTTCCCCTCTAAGAAAACATGCTCCCTTCTTCCATAACATGTTCACTAGAGTAAACTGGCTTATCACTGCAAGCAGTTGCACCCTAACCTCAACCCACATGCTCACACCCCTTGTTAGTTCACAATGACTTACAAAGGTTGTGCTTTTCAAATGCATATTTGCCTAAAACAAATACATTAAACATACATTTGCTGCTAATGATGAGCACTAAGGAGAATAAGCTGATCGTATGTTTGTTTTAACTGCATTTTATTTATTTTTTTGCAGATAAGGGATGATAATAAGCGACAGCACCCGTGTTTGGTGGATTTCTCAAAGCTACCAGAAACAGAAAGGAACTACAATTTGCAGATGTCAACAGAAACCCTGAAGTAGGTTGAGTCGTTCTGTCCTAACTTTAAGCGAGGGAATATTTGTACTGGGAGGGGTGATGGGAAGCAGCTGGGTCAATGAGCTGAATGATACACAGCTGAGTGATTGAGGAGCAGAGAAAAACAATTATTCACGGCTCAAGCAGAGGAATCAAGTCAAAAAGAAAACAAAACAAGGGGAGAAAAAAAAAAAGAACTAAAAATCTGAAAAATGACATGCAACCCCTAATGTGACACAGTTCTGCTCATTGTAACATGATCGGTTACTTCTGTCAGTCCAGCCAATGAAACTAAGCTTGTTTTTCCTCCATAGGACACTGCTGGCTTTAGGCTGCCGGATAGTTCAAGTGAACCCCAATGCAGAAGACTCCCTCAAAAAAATAAAATTACCCAAAAAGTAAGTTGGTTCATTAAGAGAGAAAAGAACATGTAAACAATATTAAAGCCTAGACTACCAAAATGATAACTGTCTTTATGTAGTAAATTTAGTAAAATACTATGGAACAGCAAATCAAACAGATTTAAAAAAGGTTTCAGACTTTTACAAAAGTATTTGTGCTGTTGAGTTTTCTGTTAGGCTATAAATGTAAACCAGTCTCTCTACACCCATCACTGAGGGAGAAATGCCCTTTCCATTTCCCCCCGTGCAGCTATATGATGTCCAATGGCTATAAACCATCTCCGCTGGACCTGTCAGAGGTAAAACTGACTCCAGGTCAGGAGCTGCTTGTGGACAAACTGGCAGAAAATGCACATAATGTGTGGGCCAAGGACCGCATCAAACAGGGATGGACTTACGGCATTCAGCAGGTTTGTTCACGTGAAATTTATGCTTGCTTATCATAATGATGCCAAACAGGTAGTCAATTCTAAATACTACAAATCTGGTTTTACTTATTAATGTACTTTTGTTTCCAGCCATCTCTTGTTGTATTGCTCATCAATGCATCCACCACAGAACTGATGCACCCCGTCAGAGCACATGTTCAGCAGTCTAACATTTCCTTGCAGGAAAGCAAATTTTAAACAAAGTCATTTCATTGTACAGCCAGCTGTAGAACACACCGTACGGAACACATTTCTCAAATTATCTGGAAAAAGACACACACACACACGTACATGATGAGGTGGAATACTTTGTACAGCTTTGGGCTTTTGCAGATGTTTATTAGCTTAATGCTTCTTTTTAATGTTTTTTTCAAATACAAAATGTAAATAAAATCAGCTGCGTTTGAAAAATGTTATGGTGTACATTGCTTTTGATTCCTTTTAGCAATAAATCCTGCATTTTTCAAATGTTCACACATTCGTTAAATGTACTCTTAAAGTGGGTAAGATCCACAAAGCAATAAGATACCCTCTTAAATTCTTGATAACTGTCACAAACAGAACCCAGAAGACCCGTGAAGACGCCAAACACAGTAAAAATAGATTAAAAAAAAAGTATTTTATTCTTAGTGAAGTTACCCGAGGTAGGGGAGGCTGCAGACAGAGTCGGAGACAGGCGAAGGTAGTAATGGCAGGCAGCGTACAAGGCAGGGGTCAGGAGAAAAACGAGGTCCGGAGGCTGAGATCAGGCAGGGTGGATGGCTGGAAGATTTACTTACAAAGGTTTTCAATAATCTGGCAGTGAACTGGTGGCTGGCTGATGAATTTATAGCAGGGGAAGCAGGTGTGTGAGATGAGCTGAGGAGACAGGAGCAGGTGAAGTGGATAAGCTGATGACAGGAACAAGTGAGATGAATGGAGTTGATGAGGTGCTGACTGAGGTCTAGTCCACACGTAGCCGGGGTTTTTTAAAAACGAATATCCGCCCCTCCAAAAACTTGCATCCACACCACCGCGTTTTATAAGCAAACTCTGTCCACACGTACCCGGATAAATACGTTGCTAAGGACATGCCAGACCTGTAGGTGGCAGTACTTCCCCCGTTCTTAACCTCGTCCTTCGTCTGTGGTCTTCCGCAAGGAGCAGTAATTCCGCTTGCAAAAACAAACAAGCAGAAAGCGCTGGGACAATTGATGGATCGGGTAGTGACAGAGTGCAGCTCTGAAGGCTTCCATGCTGTCGGCTAGTGTAAACACAGGTCGCACACGTGATGTCAGCATTTTTTTGTCGCGGAAAGTGACGCTGCGGACCTTAAAACTCCGGTTTAGTCCGTCCACACGCAGACACCCAAAACGGAGAAAACGCAGATCTTCACTTTGGCCGGAGTTTTTAAAAAGATCCATTTTTGTGTGAAAAAACTCCGTTTTCGTGTGGATGACAGGCCAAAACGTAGGAAAATATCTACGTTTTGGCAGATCCCCGGCTACGTGTGGACAGGGCCTGAGGTTGCTAAGGAAAACAGGGCTTGGCTGTAGCTTGATGAGGGGACCAGGTGTGCTGAATGAAGGCTGAAAGATGGGAGTCATGACAGATAACAGTAAATTGGAATAAATGACTAATTTTATCAAATGAGGAAAACTCTGACCATTGCTTTCTTTTAAATCTCCATTGATGAGATTATATTTAACAGCATGTGTCCAAACAAGTTGTCTTTTCCATGGTGGCCCCAGAAGTTTCCCACAAAGACTTTAACAGGCCAATGTATGAATCAAACCATCGGCATCCCCCTGAAAACCCATGTAGGGCCCATTACAATCTATGTGGCAAAACACTGTGGGGCTACTGTGGAAATCGTGGACAAAACCAGTTGGGACCCATACTGGATGCCTGTATAAATTCAATATTGGCCCCCCTAGAAGTGAAACTCTAAAAATGAGAATATGATGCAAAAGTCAATCTATTTCAATAATTCAGCTTAGACTGAGAGACCATCTAAAGCAGAGCTTTTCAATTCCGGGCCTTGAGGGCCGGTATCCAGCACGTTTTGGTTTTAACCCGGCTTCAACACACCTGATTTCCATCAGCAGGTGATTAACAGGATTATGCAATGCCTGATGAACTGCTGCACAGGTGATTAAACCACTGAATCAATATGTTGGACCAGAGAAACCACTAAAACATGCTGGATACCAGCCCTCGAGGCCCAGAATTGAATAGCCCTGATCTAAAGGCTCAGGAACCCTTTGCAGGTGTTTTGGGTTGATTAGCTGATTAGAGTGTTTAGAGTGTGACACTTTGAGCCTAGAATATCGAGCCTTTTCACAATATTGTAATGGTATGAGATTTTGAATGTTGGGTTTTCATCAGCTGTAAGCCATAATCATCACACTTATGACAAATAAAGGCTTGAAATATCTGACTTTGCATGTAAGAGTTGGGGTTGCATTAGGGTCTATCTCAGACATGTTTAACATTTTAAGTAGAATAATTGAAATAAATGAACTATTGCACCATATTCTTTTTTTTTCTGTTTCACCTGTATGTTGGCTGAGGAGAAGACATTGTACCCCCTGGGACCCCGCATCCTCTCAAGAGGATATTAGCTTCTTGCACCACAATATTTTATTTTCTTCAACATAACACTTTTTTTACACACTTGATTCAATTAAATAATTTCAAAAATTTTAAACTGTAGTTATTTATTCAAAGGAATTTGTCAATATTGTTTTGGTAAATTTAATTTTTTTTTATTAGACCCTATTAATCTGAATTAGCTGGAAAAATACACCAAATAAAATATGTGGGTCTCGAGAGATTTTAAAACAAACTGCACTAACAAACTGCACTGTGTCAGGTCCCCCAGTGGGACCAGTGCCAGTTGAAGTGACACAGAAACACAGAGGAACTGATGAGCAGCAATAACCCAATAGTGATATATGACCAATTATCTTCATAATTAGTGGAGCTGACTTTCTTAATTTGACATAAAGGTGATGAAACAGAGTTTTGATTTTCACTGCATAGGATCTGAAGAGTAAACGTAACCCTCGTCTGGTTCCCTACACACTGCTGGACGAGCGCACCAAGAAGTCAAACAGGGACAGCCTGCGGGAGGCTATTCGCACTATGATTGGACACGGATACAACATCGAGCCCTCAGACCAGGAAGGCGGTGAGTTTCACTTATATCATTCCATCCATCAAAATACGTTGAAATTCTAATTATTGAATGCATAATAGAACACTGATTGGAATAGACTCTGATTGAATTCTGCCTCCAATCTTCCACCCATTAAAGAGAAAGAGGGTGTAAAATAGTCACATGTAATTCTACCCGCTGGGCTTTTCACAATCCCGTTCTCCATTAATGGTGTATGTTTTGGAGTTGGGATTCTCGGCTCTTATCTTAAACTGCATCTGTCCTTTGAAATTTGCAGGGCAAATGGTTGAGCGGCTCAGCATTGATAAAATCCGCTTCTTCAGGGTTGAGAGGACGTATGCTGTGAAAACTGGAAAATGGTACTTTGAGTTTGAAGCCGTCACCGGAGGAGACATGAGAGTTGGCTGGGCTAGACCTGGATGCAAGCCAGATGTGGAGCTCGGTACAGATGAGCTTGCTTTTGTCTTTGATGGCTACAGGGTAAGCTGCCAAGCAAACCCAAATCAGTTTCATTTATTGTACTCTTTTTGCTGCGCCTTATTTCTACTTTTTATGTATGTCTTGCACGCAGGGCCACTGCCTGAACATGGGCAGTCGGTTGTTTGGGCGCTGCTGGCACGCTGGAGATGTAGTGGGCTGCATGATCAACATGGAGGACAAGTCCATAATCTTCACTCTTAATGGGGAGATTCTAATTACAACCAAGGGCTCTGAACTCTGCTTCACAGACTTTGAAACTGAGGATGGTGAGAATTAAAGAGCGTGTGTAAATGTGGGTATGATCTGAGTGACTTTTATTGGCTCACGGTCCAGAAGTGTCTTACTGGTAAGTTGATGGGGGGGAAGAGTTCTTCAGAAAAATCATTCCTTCGCTCATCTTTTAAATAAAGTTTTCACATTCAGAGAAGGAAACTTTACATTAGAATGACCAAGCTCAGGTTATAAGTAAAAAATAAGTGGCCTGCTGTAACAAAATGACCTGTATTTAATGTGACAGTTTGGAATTGCCTCTCTTCAAATGCAGGAGCGATTTTCCTTCCTCTCTGGCTCTTTGCGTTTTTTAAGCTTTCATTGTCTCTTCCCTCCTCCTCCCCTTCTTGTCTCTCTTCCGTTTGGGTTTCATTCAGGGTTCATCCCCGTGTGCAGTCTTGGTCTGACTCAGGTGGGCCGCATGAATTTGGGGAAAAACGCTAGCACCTTCAAATATTACACAACTTGTGGCCTGCAGGAGGGATTTGAACCCTTTGCCGTCAACATGAACCGCGAAGTCACGATGTGGTTCAGCAAACGGCTGCCTACTTTTGTCAACGTGCCCAAGAACCACAACCACATAGCCGTAAGCTGGAAGAGCATCGAAGCAGCACGAGATGATTCTATAAAAAAAGTTTGTGAGTTGATAGAAATGAAATGATTTTCCTGATTGCAGGTAACCAGGATTGACGGCACCATCGACAGCCCCCCTTGCCTCAAAGTTACCCACAAGA